GCGCATGCCGAGCGGCAGGGCTGGGTTTACGGGGACCATCGCAGCAGTGCGCACTCGGGCAGGTGCGGCTGGCCTGCACCCCTGCTGTCTGTGTCAGGGCGGCCCCGCCATGCGCTGCAGTCACCCAGCCAGACAGCTGTCTACACGCCCGCAGGCCAAGCTCCTCTGGCAGGAGACAGATGTGTCTCTGTTGCCCTCTCACCCCGTGCCATGACCTTTCCGGCTAGCTTCAAGCAGGAGTTAATTACTACCTCGAAATGCCATCGCTTCCCAGCTGCTTCAATGACAGGGCATGTTTTAAACGGAGGGAAAGAATGTTTTACAGCAAAGGCCTCATGAATATTTGGTGCTCATTACCTCACACTCACGATGTGGCCTTCGGGGCGCTTCTGGAGGTAGGCCTTCACCACCCAGGCCGCGTGCTCGCGGTAGGTCATCACGCGGCTGCAGGCGGACAGGGCTGTTAGTTGGGGCGCAGGTGCGGGCGTGCACGCACCAGGCCTCATGGGGCAGGCCAGGGCTGTGTGGACTCTCTCTGGCGCCTGCTGCTCTGTCCCAAGTCCCTCAGGGCTCTGGGGTCAACAGCCAGTGTGGTCGACTGGCTCCGCTGCCCACACCAGAGGGAGGGAGACAGTACGCTGGCCGAGAGCCGCCTGGGGTGCCCTCGGGCCTGCGGGCATTCCCCACCCACTCCACACCAGTGGCTGGCATCCCATGCAGGGATGTAACCCTCTCCACATCCTGCACCAGCAGGGATCCCTCCTGGAACCAGCCTGGGTCAAGATGGAGACTCCCAGTCCTGTGGGGCACAGGGACTTCCAGGAGCCCTGGACGGGGTCCTTGACCAGGAGCACATGGTGGGGTGCCAGGGCCACGCGGCGGCCTCTGCAGCGTGATACTGAGCAGGCGGGAGGGGATCCTGTTCATGTGGCACCCTGCAAGCTCCAAACCCCACAGGCCTTGCCACGGGTGTGGGGTGTGGGGTGTGGGGTGTGGCATGTGCCAGTGCCCGGGGCTTGGGGTGCCTACACAGCTCAGGCTCAGGCCTCAGCCCTGGCGAGTGTGGCGGGCAGCACACTCTGTCACTCACACCCTGTCGCTCATCTGGCACTCCCTCAACACAGTGGCCGGTCAGGCCTGGGAGGGGCCAGAGCTCAGGGGCTGCTCTGCTGGGGGAGGTCACGGCCCTGCATGCACCATTCAGGACCAGCCCAGAGTGAGTGCCGGAGAGCACAGGGTGACGGGCCGGGACCCTGGGTGTGGGCTGGGTAGGCAGGACAAGGCACCAGGCGGGCACACCGAGGTCACACAGGGCGGCTCTGGGCTGGGGGGGGGACACACACACACCTATTGTCTACCTGGCCTGTTTTTTCCTGTTCCCAGCCTTAGGACACAGCACAGCCAGCCCCTGGGAGTCTAGGGTGCCGGCTCGGGGGTGAGCCAATCCCCTCATCTCAGAGTTCAGGGTCTTTTGGGCCAGTTTCCGAGGCAGGTGCCTGCCCAGATGGCTGGGTTAGGGAAGGACGTGCCAGCTGTGATCTGATGATACCCTGTCTGAGCCACCTCTGAAAGTGTGCGAGCCTGTGGTCCTGGGGTACCTGCAGCAGTGTGGTCATCGCACCCTGGTTGTGGAAATGCTCATCACCTCCAAACAGACACTCTGCCCACGAGCAGCTGTGCCCTGCCTCCCAGAGGGGACCCCAAGTCAGGGCGGTACTGCAGCGAGGGGTGGGCTGCTCCTCACCAGCCAAGTCCCCACAGTGGAAGGCCTGCCCCGGCCGGGCCCAGCTGCTCACAGGGACCCTGTGCTCCCAGTTCTCCTGGCTGCCCCAGCAGTCCCCAGCCCACAGTCCTCCCTCGGGCTCAGGGGGACTTTCCTGCATGCCGCACGGTGGCTGCAGCTCCTCCATCTGTCCCATGCCAGGTCCAGGACAGGGCAGGTGTTCCAGAAAGGCAGGCCCTGGGAACAGGACCGCAGGGCCCCAAGCCCAGGCTGGCAGGGTGTGGGGCTCAGTGCTCCCCTGCCCCACAGGTGCTCAGGCAGCTGCCACCTCCTTGGAGCACAAGGACAAGGTGCCACGCTGTGCCACGGGTGCCTGGCGTGTCCCTGTGCTCACGCAGGCGGCCCAAGGGCAGGTGCAGAGGCCCAGAGACCACACAGGTCTGGTCAGGTCCCTGTCCTGCTGGCCCCACCTGCAGCCCATGGTGGACCCCCGGGGCCGGCTGTGGGTCACTGTGCTCCTCCACTGGCCTTGGGACTGGCTTTTGCGAGGCGTGCTGGGCAGGTCTGGGGAGCCACTTGGCATGTGCCATTGTGAGTGCTCGCTGTCATTAGGACCTGGTGAGCTGGCAGGGACACGGCCTACCATCCATGGGGCCGTGCTCTCCCCGGGGAGTGAGGTCCGGGTGGTTACCATTCGCTGAGTGCCATCCTCCGGTCGTAGACGCGGATGGAGCCGTCGCCGAGGCCGGCCACGATGAGTGAGCGGTGGGAGTCGCAGGAAAGACTCGTCACGCAGCTGTCGGCCCCTGTGGGGATGTCCTGGGCACAGACACAGCCTGGTAAGGCGGGCTCCAAGCCCACTGGCCGGGACACACCTGTCTCTGCCAGGGAGGCCAGTGAGGCTGAGGAGTCTGGGGTGGAGGCAGAGGCACGGTGGGGTGAGCAGCGCCCCAGCAGCTGGTAGGCAGAGCCGCGGCTCCTTCCCAGCCCACACTTCCCGGCCCAGGTGGGTACCGAGGAACCGGGAATGATGGCTCACGGCTGGTCACGCTGCCCAGACATGCCGCCCTCTTTGTAAAAGTTAAGACGAAGCACATCTGGCAAGGAGGGCTCCTCTTCCACGCCCTCTCCCACCTCTGCTTAGTGACAGCAGCTTGGGGGAGTGTCGGTCTCCCAGGTAGGAAGAGTGAGGAGTCCCTGGCAGGGAAGAGGAGGGAACAGGCTCCCGGGGGAGCACTTGGCACACGGGCAACTCCAGGAAGCAATCCGCGCGTCTGGAGAGGGGTCACCTGAGCGCCAGGCAGGAGGCAGCCCAGGACGTCGGCTAAGCGGGCTCCTCCGTGTCTGTGCAACGCACCTTGGGGGGAGGCTCCAGGCCAGTCATATGTAGTGTGGCCCAGGCCTGCCGACCCCGTCGTACATGGGCTTGTGGGCAGCAGGCCCTACATGGCTTACTGCGACCGGCTGGCGGGCACCGGAGTCCCCAGACTAAAAGGGCAGTAGGGCTTGCTGTGCCCGTGCAGGGCTGCGGTCTGACAGGGCGACTGACTACGCAGTCTCAGGGCAGGGAGGCCAGGGCAGGCGCTCCTGGGCTCTGAGCCTTGGCTGAGAGCAGGCCGCAGTGCCTGGGAGGACCAGCCTCTCATCCCGCTCGCGGTTCTCTTGCCTGTCCTGCTCTGGAGCATGTGTTCAGCTGCCCTCATGGGCTGTGCCAGGCGCCGTGTAGGCAGGACAGCGGTGGGAGGTCTCGAGGCCCCCTCTCTGCCCCTGCCGGGTGCATGGAGGGAAGCCCCTGGCCCTCAAGCACCCAGGGAACCACCCAGCAGTGTCGGACACACAAAGCCACCTCCTGGCAGCTCCCTGCTCAGCCACTCCAGCTCTCCAGGGTCTGAGCAAGCCCAGAGCCCCTTGCCCTTGCAGGCAAACCGGGCACAGAAGATGCTTTAAGCAGCACACGGGCAAATAATTCCTCCTCCTCATTCAAAACATCTCCCTCTACTGATTTCTGACATCTCATTTGCACAGATAAAATAATATTTGAAAATAATTAGGGCTGGCACAGGCTTAATTACGCCGCAGTGCAGGGTCAAAGCATCCTGATTAATTTGCGTCTGGAGGTAATTAGTTTCCAGAGGCTGAGGGAAGGGAAGAGGGGGCAGGGAGAGGAGGGGAGCAGGGCTGCGTTCCCCCCGGCACCAGCACAGGCAGGTTCAGAACCGGTGACCCCGACTCCGTCACACCCTACCCCACCCCACGGAGGGCAGCAGTTGGGGACCGGGGCAGTGGGTCCACAGTTACCTGCACCTTCATCTCACGGTCTGTGTCCCAGATCCGGACAATCCGCACGTCCCCTGAGCTCACGAGGAGGCCGGTCTCTTGGTCCCAGTCCACGACCATGCCGGCTCCTGGAGAGACACGGGGACCCCACATCACCATGCGGCCCTTCGCCAGGGGCTTGGACTGGAACTCCCCCAGAGCCGGCTCTGCCCGAGACGCCTGCTGGAGTGGCGGCCACAACTTCCCCACAGCAAGGGCCAGTCTTGTGGACGGCGGTCCCTCCACAGGGGGATTGGGGCTGTCCTCAGAGTGACCCGAACACATCATGTCCACCGTGCACCCCCTCCCTCCACCACCACATGGCAGTAGATGATGAATTGGATGACAGTAGAGTTCGATCCCCCAGAGAACCCCACCTGAGGGCGAGCCCTGGCAATATGGCGACTGGAGCACACAGACGAAGCCGTGCCTGTGGCCCACCGCTGGTCACAGCCTGGCCCCCACCCTGTGGCTTTGGGGTGAGGACCCTGTGCTACAAGGACAGTTCGATCCCATGGCTGTCGTCCCAGACCTCGTCTTCCCAGATACTCGGCCCGACTGGCAGGTCTGCATGATGTCAGAGGGCCAGTGAGGCGCGTCCTCCCAGCTTGTGGGGATAGGCAGGGCTCTGCACGGCCATGGCCAGCCGCTACCTGACAGCATTGGGAGGCGGTGGGCAGGCAGAGCGCCTCAGCCTTCACGTCCTGACCGCCGTCAACAGGCGCCGATTTTGGCACTGGACTATGCATGTTTCAGGCATACAGAGAATACCACAGGGACTCTTGTACCCATCGCCCGCATCTCACGGCTGCGGCTGTTTCGCCGTTTTTGCTTTGGAGAAGCTGACATTTTACACCCAGTGAAGGTCCACTGCCCTGCCTCCAGGAGCATCTCCCAAGGAGCTCTGTCCGCAGACGGAGCACACCTCTCTGCCTCAACGCCAGCCATTCTCCCCAGTGGGGTCTGTTTTCTAGCAGCTCCTCTCTGCCTGACGACATACTGACACGTGCACTCCTGGTGAACTCACGTGGCCTGTGTGTGACACCCTCACTGCCCTGGACCAGGACAGGCACGTCACAGTTAACACCGCCTTTGTGTGGGCTCCTGTGCAGTGAGCGGAGTGGGCTAGAAACAACTGCAGCAGCCACCAGGCACAGCGTGCTGCTCCCCGAGCCACCTCCCAGGGACAGGCACAAGCCCTGCCTCCCGGCCCTCGCCGGCACTGAGCTCGCAGTCTTCCACGTGCTCGGGTATGCATCTGCCTAACTGCGGTTGCACGCCTTAATCCACGAGCACCTTCCACAGGCTCTGTCATGCAGCAGCCCCCTCCCTCCAGTCTCCCAGCCTGTCGGACCCCATGCCGGTGTGCAGTGCCATGCTTCCGCCTGACTGGACTTGGGATTTGAGCCGTGGCTGCCACTTGGGATGCAGCTGCCTTTGAGCGATGTATGCTGACGGCTGCTGCACGGGGAGCCGGCCGATACAACGTGTCTAAGTCGTACTCGCGAGTCCTCCGAATCCGTCACTACAGTGCAGCCTACTTTGTTACTCTTTGGGCTGGGAAGCATGCGGCCACATTTGTCACCCTTCTGTCTGCTGCCCAAGCCCTTTTTATTCTTCAACCTTATAAAAAGATCTCCTTTTGTCTTCTTTTCAGAACTTTCACCCTCAGGTGGTCTCTAATAGTAATATATTTTGTGTGGTGTGAGGTAGGGATGTCCTTTTGTCTTTTCCAGATGGTACCAGCTGTCCCCACACCACTTGGTGGCCCGTTTCCCTCTGCTGTGTAAAGACTCTGGGAACGCTCAGGTCTGAGCTGGGGCGGGCCCCAGGCATGAGAAGAGACTGCTGCGGATCAGACCGGCTGTGCCCTTCACGTCCTGACGCAGACCCTGAGCTCCAGGCACCCTGCTTCTGCAGAAGTCACCGTGTCAGGATGGAGCCTGGCCCTGAAGGCCTGTGGGCAGCCCTTGGCAGGATCCCCTTGGTGCCCTCACTGCACGGAACAGTGGGGCCTGAGGTGGCTGGGCGAGCAAGACCTGGGTCCCCCCAGGAACTGAGCATGAGGACCTGGCCCCGCTCGGCCCTGTCTTGCAGCCTGTGAGCTGCCTCGGGGCTCCCTGCGTGCCTGTCCGTCTAGCCCGGGAGGAGGAACCCCGGCTAAGCACCTGGAGATGCAGGAGGAGGAGCCCCGGCTAAGCACCTGGAGATGCAGGAGCTGCTGGTACTCTCCTCTGCTGGGGAAGCCTTGGGGCAAGACCCTCATCACCCCTGTCCTGTCTCTCCTTCCCAGAGCTTTCTGGGGGCCCAGGGTGGGGTGGGAGGGTCTACAGGGAGCTGGCCAGTAAGAAGCCCCCTGGAGTCGAGTCAGGCTGTGGGGCGACGTGAATCGTGGGGGCCTGCTCCAGGGTGGCAGGCTGGGTGTTACAGCTGGGAGGGGTGCAGGGCCCAGCACCGCAGCGCTGCTCGGCTGGCCTGAGTGCTCGCCCCACGTGCTCTGCCCCAGTTCAATGCACATCTACTCAGCCTGCTGCTCTCTCCCCCTGCCCCCAGAAGCCAAGGACGAC